GCTGCAGATGCATGCACCGGCTGCACCTCTCCCTGCTGCCCCTCCTGCTGCTGCTGCTGCTCGTGCTGCTGCTGCTACTGCTGCTGCTGCTGCTGCTGCTGCTCGGACTCCTCCTGCTGCTTCTCCCCTTTCTGCTGCTGCTGCTGTTGCTGCTGCTGCTGTGTCGCCCCCGCCGGCCCCGACGAGGCGCCCTCTCTATCTCTGCATGCATTTGTTGCTGCGTCCTATAGCGTAGCTCCTGCTGCTGCTGCTGCTGCTGCTGCTGTATCTGCTGCTGTAGCTGCTGCTGTTGCTGCTGTAGCTGCTGCTGTTGCTGCTGCTGCTGCGGGTCTTCTTTCAGCAGCAGCAGCATCTGCATCGCGCAGTTTTTTACTTGGCTATCAAAGACAGCAGCTGCAGCAGAAGCAGCTGCTGCTGCAACAGCAGACAGCTCACCTGGTTGCTGCTGCTGCTGCTGCTGTTGCTGCTGTTGCTGCTGTTGCTGCTGCTGCAGCTGCTGCATTTCACCCTGTACCGGCCCCTCTCCTATTACACCTGAGGCCGTCATTGCTTCAGCTGCTGCTGTTGCTGCTGCTGCTGCTGCTGCTCGTGCTGCTGCAGCAGGGGAGACAGCCATTGCTTGATTGGGTCTGCTGCTGGTTTGAGTTGCTGCAGCAGCTTTCGCGCTGCTGCTGCTGTCCATGTATGCTGCTCTTGTCTTGCTTCTAGTTTTGTTTCAGTGTTATTGCTGCTGCTGTTGCTGCTGCTGCTGCTGCTGCTGCTGTTGCTGCTGCTGCTACGTCTTTGCTGCTGTTTCTTCTGGTGGCGCCATTGTCTCTGCACTGCCGCCTGCGCAGCTGAAATGCTGCAGCAGCTGCTGCTGCTGCAGCAGGCGCTGCTGCTGCTGCAGTTGCTGCTGCTGCTACGGTCGGGTCGCTGCTGCTACTCCAGCTGATGCTGCTGCTGCAGTTCTTGCTGCTGCTGCAGTTGCTGCTGCTGCTGCAGTTGCTGCCAATTAGATCTCCCGGCTCTCTAAGCCGCGTGCTGCAGGTGCCGCTGTTGCGGCTGCAGCAGCAGCTGCTGCTGCAGCAACCGCAGCAGCAGCAGCAGCAGCAGCAGCAGCAGCAGCAAC